TCCTTCCCATTTTTTTCTATGCATATTTATATATCCTTTTTTCTTCGCAAACTGTGTATTATTTCAATTAATAACTCTTGGGTATCTTTATGTATCAGTGTAAAGATAAAGCTACTAATAAAAAGCTGAATATTTCTAGACCCTGCTAAGTGGTTTTGAGTCTGAGTTCTGCCCTCAATTTTTATAAGATGAATTCATATGTACCCACATCCAAATGGAAGTACCAAAACACATTCCAAGTAAGAATAATTTGTTCTCTTTATGCCATTGCTCTTCATTATTGCTAACTGAATACAACATCTCTGATCAAGGGAGTATGCAGATCATTTTATGGTTCTTCAGCAGTTGGATCATTTAGAAATCGACAGATGGGTACTATTCATAAGTCATTCAAAACCATACAAATTTTGTCAATTTGCTAATACTGTTTTTAGTGACTCACAAAACTGTTTCATTTCAAAATTATTTTTTATAATGGAATTAACATCAATCTCTTATTTGTCTTTCAGCACCTGAGTTTAATGGGAATAAATGATATGATATTCACAGAAGTAAACAATCTCTGGACATTTTCCATTATTTGTTTCTTGGTTATTTATTTACTGATAAAATCTCCTTACCTTTTCACCTGAAATTTTCAAGTTTAACCTTTTCTTAAAGATCTTAGGAAATCTTGAGGGAAATTTTCCTTAGCCATTTTTGTTAGATGATAATGTAAAAACCCAGATTTAAAAATTTTCTTTTCTTTTCTTTTTTTTTTTTTTTGGTGAGGAAGATTAGCCCTGAGCTAACCTCCGTTGCCAATCCTCCTCTTTTTCCCCAGAAGGTTGGCCCTGAGCTAACATCTGTGCCCATCTTCCTCTATTTTATATGTGGGACACCTGCCACAGCATGACTTGATAGTGGTGTGTAGGTCCGTGCCCAGTATCCAAACCTGCAAACCCAGGGCCGCCGAAGCAGAGCACAAGAACTTAACCACTAAGCCACCAGGCTGGCCCAGTATGGTTGAAGAACATAAAGCAAAGAGGTTAGCATTTTGTCTTTGCTCATACTTGTCTCTGCTTTCAGTTGCAGAGATGAGTTAAAGAAGTCTAAGATTTAAAGCTCTGCTGCATACAAGTGCCTAAATTCACCCCATCTCATTCAGCTCTAACACACATCTACCCACAACAAAATAGCAGAAGCAAAAGGAACACAGGCCCTCTTGGCTACTTTAATACTTCTTGGGTGCTGATAACACCCAGAATATAAGGAATTCCTTTCCAAAACCTATGTTGATTTAATGACTTTACATCCTTTCCTTCAGCAGCTATTCCTTTTCCCTTGAGTCCTTTAGAGCACATGGTTCTTAAACCTGACTGCACACTAGAATTACCAGGGGAGCTTTAAAAATACCCACCTCAAGCCAATTGAATCTGAATCTCTGGGGTGAGGCCTGGCTGTCTTTGCCTAGGCTTTAAAACTCCCCAGGTGATTCTAATGTACAGCCAGGCCTGCGATCCAATTAGATCCATGGCTCTTAGGTTCTTAAAGTGTAACCCCTGGACAGACAGCGTCAGCATCCTAGGAAACTTGTTAGAAACACACATTCCCCAGCCCCAGCCTAGACTTACTGAATCAGAAAATCTGGGCAGTGGGGTCTAGAAATCCGTGTTTTAACAAGGCTCCAGGTGATTCCAATGCAAGTTAAAATTTGAGAACCACTGACTCTAGAAGAGTGTTTTTCAAAATTTAATATATATTTGAACCATTTGGAGATCTTGGTCAAATGCAGATTCTGACTCAGTAAGTTAGAAATGGTGCCTGAGATTCTGAATTTCTAACAAGCTCCCAGAAGATGCTGCCAATCTACTGAGCACACTTTGAGTAGCAAAGTGCTAGGGTACAACTTCTTTATTTCTTTGTGGAATTATCCAGGTACTGTATATAGGAAAACTTTTTTACCTCAATTAGTCATAGGTTTATACATAGATTAGGCTTTTTATGGTTGTTTACATTTTCTTTTAAAGAAAGATTTTATTTATTTTTTTCCCCCCAAAGCCCCAGTAGATAGTTGTATGTCATAGCTGCACATCCTTCTAGTTGCTGTATGTGGGACGCAGCCCCAGCATGGCCGGAGAAGCAGTGTGTCAGTGCGCGCCCGGGATCCGAACCCGGGCCGCCAGCAGCGGAGTGTGAGCACTTAACCGCTAAGCCATGGGGCCGGCCCTACATTTTCTTTTAATTAACACAATCTGGTGAATCTGCACATTAGCTTTTTTGGTCCTGAGGAAAGTCTTTTGGTCCAACATTTTCTAGTTAAAACTGTTTTCAAAGTCTTTCATACAATCATTGGTTTCCTAGGCTCCTGGCTATAAGAATATTCCTAGAAGATTATTCTACTCCAAAATGTACCTCTTTTCCCTTTGTCTCATCTGCCATAATCTTTCCTTATAGTATTTCCAAACCCAGTTTCTATAGCAGCCTCTGGCCAGGACCCCCACTCTGTATTTATAACTGAGTCCTATATAGTTAAGTTCTTATCTCTAGATTTTAATTGTTTGCAGTACATTTACTAGTATAAATGTAAACATCCGATAGTGAGTTATACAACATTCAGATAACTATAGTGTGTCAGAATGCTGGTTTCCCCAAGATCATACATATTTGGGGGGAAAATTTGGCGCTTGTTGTAGATACTGAATACTATTCTGCTAGAGCCTCCTTGCTTATTTCTGCCTCTTCTTGTTTGGGTCATAATATAACTAAGGAGGAACACATACTCAGTTCAAGTTTGGATACCTTAATGAAATGTGACACGTTTTCTGTATTTAGAGTGATACCTCTTGAAAATAAAAATAACTTTTTAAATACTTTTATTGTGAAGTATAAAATATTTGGAAATGATTTTTAAAATTTTAGTGTGAACAATTCAATAATCTTTACAAGAGAAAGCACCACATTAAAAAATTACATTTGTAACAAACAATCTAAAATGCATATGCTAAAATGATTTAATAGTAATTACAATAGCAAATCATGAACTTCAGAAACTTTCTAATCACAGATCTAAATCAGGGGTCTCAAACTCAGATGTCTTCACTGCTAAGTAGGAAACACAAAGTAGTGAAGAAGTCTGACGCAACAGTAAGTCCAGTGGACTGTGGCAAATTGGCGAATGCATGCCCAATCTAAAGACTTTTCAAATTCAAAATATTTTGAAATATGCACCCTGAATAAAACAACTGTGGGCCAAGCTGGCCTGTATCAACTGCGAGTTTGCAACTCTAGCCTAAATGAATCTCTAGCAATTTATGTACCCAATCTTCAAAATGGCAGAAGCACTTCTCTGAATATATATGTTGTCTCTATCTATCTATCTACCTACCTACCTATCTATCTCTCTATCTACCTACCTATTGTTTTAAAGCTCAAGCCACTATTTTGGAGGGAGTGAATAAAAAAAACTTTAAGAAAAAGTATTTTGCATTTTGAATTAATCAATTTAGGCATTTGCATGGATATATTCTTAAAACATTTGGTTAAGAGATGAAATTTTTAAAATATCTTCTTTCACATTTGTTTGGGAAAAATTAGTTATGCCTAAGAGTTAATTAAAATGAAATGAAATTTCATTCTTTTACCAGTAGAAAGTCACACACCATAGTACATTATTGCTTAGTAAGAAATATTTATATGAAAAATAAAGTATTGGTTTTACTAAAGTCACTGTTCAGAAAGCATTCAATCATTCACCTCACTACATACATAAGAAACTACTTGTAATTCAGTTGACAATAAGTTTTACTTCATTTTAAAAGGTATTTTGTTAAAGAGCTTTAGTATGTTTTATACTTGGTGTTAAAAGTAAAGGTTACAGTCTGAACGTGTAAAAGTACTGTAGCTCAAATGGCTGTAACTATGTTGGTTTGTTATGCCAAAGCAGTTTTACAGAATTTACAATTTAGTACGCCATCAATGACTTCACATTAATAATTTTTAAATAGTTTTTAAAAATTAAGGTGATAGAGGGATTAGAGAGACAAATAAAATTTCCTTTAAAAAGCCTACAAAGGTACATTATAATTCAGATATCCTTACTAGACTAGGAATACATATTTTAAAATAATCCATAGGTAACACAGATTTCAAACAAATAAAACTCAAATATATTTATCCCAAAACTTGATACAATACCCAAAAATATTTTCTACTTTTGTAAAACATTTGTTTTCAGCTTGAGAGTTTAACATAAAAACAAAGCACCAAATCTAGCCATATAATCTTCCAATTTAAAAAGTTAGTAGTTATTATATCTTTTCTATAAAACAAAGTTTATGTGGGACAAATCAATTTCATTTGTGGCCATTAATTTCTGAAATTAAAAAGCCAAAGCTGTTAAGTTCTTGGCCTAATTTAGCAAACCCAGAGAAGGTATACAAGAAACTGACAGATAGAAACTGAAATTGATAGACAGTATCTATCAATTAATGCAACAGGTCTTCCATTATTTCCATTTTTCATGAATTGAAACTTTTTTTTTTTTTTGTCAGGAAGATGGGCCCTGAGCTAACATCCGCCAATCCTCCTCTTTTTGTTGAGGAAGACTGGCCCTGGGCTAACATCCATGCCCATCTTCCTCCACTTTACATGGGATGCCGCCACAGCATGGCTTGCCAAGCAGTGCGTCGGTGTGCGCCCGGGATCCAAACCGGCGAACCCTGGCCCACCGCAGCACAGTGTGCACACTTAACCGCTTGCACCACCGGGCGGGCCCAGAATTGAAACTTTTTAAGTAGGAGAAATATATTTAGCATTTTTTTCTAACCTAATATTTGGCAAAGTTTTAAAGTAGCCAAGTCTTACGTATCTCATCTGCATTCCCACATTCATTTTAATTATTAAAAGCACTTAAGTATGAAGCAATCAGGATTTTTTAGAATTCACAGTTAACACTGATTTTACACATCAAAAGTATTTCCATGGCAGAAAATTAAAGGTAAAATAAGATTGTGAATTCACTATGGATTCATAAAAGAAATAAACATGTTTCTCAAATCAAGTCAATAGCAGAAATATATAAGGGTTTACAATACAGGCTGATGTATTACAAACTTAGTTCGGTTTAGCAGTTCTTTAAAAACCAATAGGGTTTCTATGAATAAATTTATTTTAAATTAATAAATTATTCATAATTAAAAATTTAAAGGTTTCATAAATAGTAACAGACTAGATATTGAGTATATGGGATTCCCACAAACAATAACAAAATACTTCAACATTATTTCATCCAAATATTGGTTTAAAGTTATTCAAAGGTATTTAAAGATTACAGTTGACTGATCTTTGACACTGAATTCCAGACTAAATCAATAGCAGTTCGATATATAGAGCTGTCTGCTTGTTCTTCACATCCTCAAAGGATGAAACTCCTTTCGTAAGAACACGATGGTCGCACTGGTTACATACAGTGATCCAATTAATTAGCGTATTTATGGAGGAAGCGTTCAAATGCATCATAGATGGCTCGTCTAAAATTAAATATGAAAGAAAAACTACAATTAGCAAAAAAGGGGGACAGACAGTGCTTTTACTATAAGTGACTTCCAAAATTACCTGTGTCTTGCAACCTGACGTCCTCTCCAAATAGCTATGAAAGAGGTAGGTACCTGAGGGTGGGTGTTTGGATCCATGTGCCTTCACCACTACTGGAAAACCTCAAATGTGCTGCCAACTGATGATGGGCTCAGAAGCACCATCTTTTTCTGTGAAGCACTTTTTTGTGCCTTAGAATTTATATAATATGTATCCATGTATGTATAATATATAAAATGGTAAAAGAAAAAGGAACTGGTTCCTTTTTATTTTGTCACTTGTTGAAAATTAAATGGCTACGTAACTTTTCAGAATGTAGTATTCAATTTATTTCATAGATTATGATATAGATGCTCTTTGTTTACAAAACCATGTTCCTAGCAACTGAACTTAAAATCTAAAGTCTTAGTTTCCTACATTAACTTCACTAGGTATTTTAATATTTTAATTGGAAAGGAATAGTCAAATTAACCTGGCTCATGTCCATAAGATATTATTTTTATTTTTTTTACTTTTTGAGGAAGATTGGCCCTGGGCTAACATCCGTGCCCATCTTCCTCTACTTTATATGTGGGACACCTGCCAGAGCATGGCTTGATAAGTAGTGCATAGGTCCAGGCCCAGGATCCAAACCCGTGAATCCCAGGCCGTGGAAGCGGAGTGCGCGAACTCAACCACTATGCCACCAGGCCAGCCCCAGATATTATTTTTAAAGCTTACTTCGTTTTTTTCCTATTGCAAAATACATTTTCATTGTAGAATATTCAGAAAATCCAAAAATACAGAAAGGAAAATAGTCATAATCCCATCACTCTAAGGTATCTACTATTAATCTTTTCATATATTTCCTCCAGGCTTTTTTTTTAATGCATATGTCTATAAATAATTACTATGAGATCATATTAATTTTGTATCCTCCTTGTTTGACTAAGCATTTCCCCACATCCCTAAAAAGATATTACGATTATCTTTAAAACTGGCAGCCTGCTAGCAAGATTAAGATTTCCAATATGCTGGGAAGACACAGCTTTCTATCACACTTCTATTCATTTGGCTCAAAAATTTGTCCCTTGTAAAATGTAATAAACAACAAGAAGGGAAACAAATTAAAGATGGATATTTGCATGTTGGTGTAAACACAAAGAGATTTTGTTTTGAGAACAGGTGTGAGAGCAATAGTTGACTGCAGGTGAGAGGGAGAGAGGGCCCTGAGATGTTTGTCCACTGGATAATTTTTTCCCCAGAGTTAGTCCTGGGTACTTGCTCTGGTAGAATGAATCTGAATTTCTTTTACTTCCTAAGCCCTGATGTAATCTAGGCTTGTGTACATGGTACGAGGAGGGTTAGGAGAGGTATACATGTGCTTTTTTAATCATTTGAATAGTCTCTTATTCACGTATATTACCAATCAGTTCTAAATAACTTAACACAAAATATTAGAGCACATAAAGGAGTGGCTTGTTTTAGTTTTACATCTGGTGAGTGAAAAGACTGAATTTTTAAAAATTCTACTATCCCAATGTCATCTAAACTCTGTTACATGTTGAAGTGACTGGCGGGGAGTAAGAGAGGCCAAATAGCTTAGTAGTGACTCCACCTGAGGAAGTTATTTAATCTTTTTTGTTCCCTGTATTTCTGTGTAAAGGGGATAATTACGTATGAAGCAATTGCTCAAGTACCTGGCACATGGTAATAACTAACATTTATCTCTTTCTCAAATGAAGCCTTCAAATTAGCACTTTTGAGTTTTTACAGCTAACTTGGATTATATCTATTCTACCTAATGCCTCTCAGCCACACTCCCACTTAGATACATAAAAGAGTAAAAGAAATCTGATTCTGATTTACTAAAGCAGGCAGTGGGTTCTCTGCATTCACGTACCTAACAGAACTTTAGACTCTTCTTGAGCAACGCTAGCAATGCTAAGTACTCACAATTTTTGTTTGTTCTTTTCTTTTAGTTTTGCTATGCCAGAGGGTCACTTGAGTATTGGGTAGCTGGGTAGTCTGCTCACTCACCAACTAACAGGGTGACTGTTATGACTCAAATGCTGAATGAATTTTTTTTTAAAAGATCATACTATAAAAAAAAGGTTTACTATATGCTTCAAGACATTACAGACTGGGTCGGCCCCATGGCTTTGTGCACCACTGCTCCACTGCTGGCAGCCCGGGTTCGGATCCCGGGCGCGCACCGACGCACCGCTTGTCCAGCCATGCTGAGGCTGTGTCCCACATACAGCAACTAAAAGGATGTGCAACTATGACATACAGCTATCTACTGGGGCTTTGGGGAGAAAAAGGAGGAGGATTGGCAATAGATGTTAGCTCAGAGCCGGTCTTCCTCAGCAAAAAGAGGAGGATCAGCATGGATGTTAGCTCAGGGCTGATCTTCCTCACAAAAAAAAGAAGAAAAAGACATTTAGACTTAAAGAATTAGTCTGTATCTCAAAAAGGTCACATCTATAAGTTGAACTAAAGAAGTAATAACATACAAAGAAAGAATTATTTCTTAGATTAAAAGGGCTAAAACATGTCAAACATATAGCACACACAATTCTTCTATTATATAGCTTTCCAGCCAGCAGTTTTGGAACACTTTTTACTTTATGTGAACTAATTTATTTAACCATTAATGATAAATATATGCCAATGATACCTTTTACCATCAAATTTGAATAAAAGTAGAAATAATGCAGGATACCAAAAAACTAGAGTTATAGCATAAAAGTTTTAAATAAGTTCTAACAAATACTGGAGTCATATAAGGTTATTAACATTAAAACCAATATTTCACTTCTCATTTAAGGTTTAATATTCACTAGCTACTAAAAAAACACTGCTAGATTAATCCACAGATGCTCAGGCCATTCTGAGAAAAGAACATCAGAGTGGAGTGAAAAACTCATGATGAACCAAAGCAAGTATTACAAACCCTGGTGTCCCTCCCTACCCCCTAAAGTACCTGGCCACTAATATTTAAAGAGGGTAGACCCACACAGTAAAGCATGTCTATCATATGCTACTTCCTAGTTGTCTAGAAGAAAAAGAAAATAAGAGGACGAGATAGGAAAGAGTACCACAGTGTGAGAAGTGAGAGAGGCAGAGAGGAAATAGGACTAAAATGGACCATAAAAATACCCAATCTTTTATATTTGTTGAGGCAAAAAAACAAACAACAGATAAATAGACATCCGTTTAGACAAATCATCTTACCTGAAGAGTGCTTGTTTAAAAAGATAAGCACTAATATGACCTCCTTCTAGATACCGGATTTCACAACCAGGCCAGATTTCTTGTAGACTTCTAACTCCTGTTCGTGGAATATAGGCATCTTCTTTGGCTTGAACCACTATAATAAGGCTTGGGTCAACTGGAACTAGGTATAGGATTTAAAAAAATGTAACATATATCTTTTTAAAAAGCTCTAAGATTTTTATATACATACTGTTAATCGTATCAGAAAATAAAATACATCATACAATGCAGTAAGTGAAACATTTGTCTAACAAAAACTTTTAATTATTAAAATCAACTATAATATACCATAATATCATTTCTAATACAATAAGCTGAATATTTTGAAGAAGAATTCATTGTTTTTAAATGAACTAATAAGATGGTCTTAGATTTTCATGGATATAATATGATACATTTATTTGTGTTTTTTTTTTTTTAATTTTTATTTATTTATTTTTTTTCCCCCAAAGCCCCAGTAGATAGTTGTATGTCATAGCTGCACAGCCTTCTAGTTGCTGTATGTGGGACGCAGCCTCAGCATGGCCGGAGAAGCAGTGCGTTGGTGCGCGCCAGGGATCCGAACCTGGGCCGCCAGCAGCAGAGCACCTGCACTTAACTGCTAAGCCACGGGGCCGGCCCGTTACATTTAAATAACCAACTTATCTTAGAAAACACATTCTGGAGCCAACAATAAATATACTCTTGAAAATAAGAAATTGTCTTGTAAACCATCCTTAAAAATATTTCACAAATATTTACACATCAGCAAATATTCTGAATTTCATGTAAAAATTAGTACCTGAGAAATTTGCTACATGAGTACATTCATCCATGACTCCTTTCATAAATATTAAAGATTCCTTCTGAAGATTGTTTCTTCTTTGTTCTTTACTGAGTAGGTGGTATGACTGAGGACTGCAACTCATATAACTACTTTTGTTGGTTGAAAGTGTTTGATTGAAGCACTCCATCTTAGAGGTATCATGCAACAAGAGTCCTTCTGATATGGCACTGATAGATGTTTTACTAGAGTTATGGCACTCAGCAGGTTTTGGGGACATAACTTGGTCCGTCATATCTAAATTTAAAGTTCTAGAAACCAGATTAAGGTTAGTTAGCTTGTCTGCACTGCTAGGGAAGCGTTTCACGAACTCTTGTCCCATTTTGAAAGAATCTGTCTGAATATATGAAAGAAAAGAAAACATCATTTAATATAAAATAGAGTTTTATTTAACAACCTTGTTAAAAAAACAGAAAACATAAATGTTCATAAACAAATGGATCAATAAAATGTGGCATATATACGCAATGGATTATTATTCAGTCTTAAAAGGGAATGAAATTCTGACACATGCTACAACATGGATGGACTTTGAAGACATTATGCTAAATGAATGTCAGACACAAAAGGACAAATATTGTATGATTCCACTTTTATGAGGTACCTAGAGTAGTCAAACTCAGGTAGACAGGAAGTAGAATGGTGGTTGTCAGTGGCCAAGAGGAAGGGGGAATGAAGAGTTATTGTTTAATGGGTACAGAGTTTCAGTTTAGGAAGGTGAAAAAGTTCTGGAGATGGATGGTAATGATGGATGGAGACAATAGTTGCACAACAATGTGAATGTACTTAATACCACTGAACTACACTTAAAAATGGTTAAAATGGTAAATTTTATGTTGTATATATTTTATCACAGTTAAAAAAAAAACAGAGAAAAGATGTCAAAATTTAACTGAGGACTAAGATAAATGACATACTTTATTGCTAAATGTTTCCTACTAAACAGTAAAGGGTATCATTTAGTCTGTATCATGTTTTTATTGCCAAAGTTTTGAAATCCATGATCTGCCTTAATCCTAGAACTTCCAAAAGTCTTATGAGTGTATCCTGGCAGTAATACACCAGCCACCCCAAATCCCTTTCACAGGTTAACTAAGAAGAATTAAAAATTATCAAGGAAAAAATATTCCTATTATAATCACAAAAGTAGATATTAAGTTTAAGGACTTGTAAATACAACATAATTTAAGTAAAAATAAACTTTGTCATATACTAAAAGCAAAAGCAAAATCAAAAGAAAAAAATGACAGCCTGGGAAAATATATTTGCAACCTATATGACAAAGAGCTAATTGCTTTAATTTATTAAGAGCTAGAAGTGACTAAAAAGCCCAAAACCACTATAGAAAAAATGAGCAAAGAATCTGCAAATAAAGGTCACAGGAAATTAAATACAAATTGCTCTTAAATTAATAAACATATTCAATTTAACCTATAATTAAGTAAATTAAATAAAAACTATACCAATTTTCACTATCAGGTAAACAAACAAACAAAAAAACCCATAAGTTTGATAACCCACTGAATTTGTGAACTTATGGGGAAAGAGACACACATGTTCCTGCTGGTAGTATAAATGGAGACAAGTAGAATTAGACAAAAATCTAACCACGTTATAAATGTATATACCCTTCCACTCAGGAACAACATTTCTAGGAATTTACACTTGTGAAATGATGTATGTACAAAGCTACTCATTGCAGCACTGTCTGTTAATAGTGAAAGATGAGAAACAACATAAATGCCCACCAACAGGATACTGGTTAATAAATCATGGTACATCCATGCATATAATATCGACTATTATGCAGCAATAAAAAGGAAAAAGGAAATACTTGTGTACAGTCCATAAAAAAAAGAGAAGAGAAAAAAGCTTCATATTTCTATTGGTTTGAAAAATTCCTTGAAATATTAATAATATAATGGGTTACCTGTTGAGGAAGATAGGACCTAGGCAAAATGGGAACAGGGGTAGGAATTGTTTCACTATATAATTTTTATACTTTTTGATGCTTGAACTACATGACCATACAATCTATTTAAAAAATTAAAGACTGGGGGCCGGCCCGGTGGCACAAGCGGTTAAGTGTGCGTGCTCTGCTGCAGCGGCCCGGGGTTTGCCAGTTAGGATCCCAGGGGCGCACCGACACACTACCTGGCAAGCCATGCTGTTGCGGCGTCCCATATAAAGTGGAGGAAGATGGGCACGGATGTTAGCCCAGGGCCAGTCTTCCTCAGCAACAAAAGAGGAGGATTGGCAGATGTTAGCACAGGGCTCATCTCCTCACCAAAAAAAAAAAAAAACATTAAAGAATGAAAAATTGGTTGAAGGCCAGGAAAAAAACCCCAACAATCTGGTTAACAGAGCAAATCACTAAAGCCATCCAGACCACAGAAATATAAAAGGGAAGGAAAAGAAGTTTAGTAACATTGGGAAATGTAAGACTGAAGCATCCTAGAATTACCCAGGTGGTACACCAACAAATTTAACTTCTTTTGATTGGGAAAACAGTTGTTAAAACAAAAAATGAAGGAAGCCATCTTGACATTTCTTGAATATTCATTACTGCTAACTAGCTCTCACTGAGAAAAAAGACTATTGTATTCAACCACCAAGAGTCAGAGGCACAGGGAAAGAAGTGCTTTCAGACAACCAAAATTTATGAACTTCGCTTAAAAGATGTGTGCTAAGTTTTCTCACAAGCTCTCGAATATAGTTATCTTTCTGATTATATGTATAGTGGAACACAAGGAACTAAATAGCAGGTAGAGCTAATTTGTAATAAAGTTCTTAGGCAAGTAATTAACTACCCTTTAAGGTTATGCAAGATAGACCTACTTTACAAGAGTGAGGTTTATAGTGATGTAATTATAAATAAGAAGTCCTCATTGATAGTAGAAAGATTCGTTTTCTTTCTGAGATTTCTTGAGATTCTCAGTAACTTTCAAACTGAATGTGCAAAATTTTTAAATTCATGAAAACAAAACAAAAAAAATTCATGAAAAGAATTGGTCACCGTTGGAGAGTAATAAGCAACCAATTCAACATCCTGAAAACTGGTAAATTAAGAGAAAGAATCAAGCATTTATCCTGCCTTTCCTATATGAACTGAACTACTAGGTAACCAAATAATAGATGAGGGAAGTGCCTTTTTATAAAAGTATTAAAATGAATAAATGAAAAAGAAATGCTAGAATATCAGCATTTTGCAACCCTCAACAAATTAATAGACACAGGCATTAAGCATCAGTGGAGGCTTACACCACAAAAAAGAGACAACCAGACATTATGTGCTTCCTATGGTCTTACTAAAGAAATAAAAACTGAGTTTAATCAAGCCTCTAGACCTAGTTGCCAATTTGCAGGCAATATACAGCAGGAGGAACATGCTAAACTGTACTATGAGAATGCAATCAGAATAATCTAGACTGTGAGAAATTCTACAGGTAAATAGCCCAAGTTCTTTACCATATAAATTATAAGGAAAAGAAAGGGATGAAAGGGAACTCATAGTTTAAAAGACACTTAAAAGACCCATCAAATAAAATAACTATAGTGTCTAGGGATGCACACTTGGAAAACAAAATTATTTTAAAGACAGAAGAAAGTAATTGCTATAAAAATCAGGATAATGATAACTAACAGTAGGGGGAGGAGGGCCTTTTGATTAGGACACATGGAAGTAGTTTCTGGGTTGGGTGGTCAAGTTCTGAGCTGGGTGGTCAAGTTCTATTCTTGACCGATTACAAATGTGTTTGCCATTTAATAACACTAGTAAACCACACATTTACTTTGCATGATTTTCTATATTTGTATTTTATTTTAAAATGAAGAATTTTAAAAAGTAAAAAGTAGTACTGCTTTTTAAAAAATCTGCAATTCTTTTTAAAAATTTGAGTCATTATACCCAATCAACTTTTTCCCCCAGTGTGATGCAGAAGTGAAAAATACTTACTCCACAATATTCAAGCATGTGAATAATTTCTTCCTCATAAACTGTCTGTGTATAATACTGCTTTTCCAGCTCCCTCCAATTAACTGATTTACTCAGCACACCCTGAAATAACAAATTAAATTAAGATCAAATCACATTATAAAGCATTTTGTCCAGTAATTTTATTATTATTACTGTGCAGAAAAGTTAACGTAGCAGGCTTGAGACTTCCTATCTTTAGAAAGTCCTGCTTGTAAGTAAGGTTGGCCCTCGACTAGAGTTTGGGATCTTGACTAGTAAACAGTTCTTTACCCTGATATAAAACTTCCTAAATGATAAAGTAGGTCATTGTGCCTAAACTGCTTGTACAAACAATGTGGTTTCTGCTGAACACCTGCTTTCCTTCTGGAATTTTGGTACACGCTAGGCAGAGGGTGCCTAAGTGACTGAAGCCTGATAAAAACTCTGGGCTCCTAGGCTCAAACGAGCTTCACTGATGGACAACACTTCACACATATCGTCATAACTCATTGCTGGAGGAACTGAACACCTCCTGTGAGACTCCACTGAAAGCTTGTGCTTGGTTTCCTCTAAACCTTGCCCCGTGTGCCTTTTCCCTTTGCTGATTTTGTCTTATATCTTTTTGCCGTAATACATCTTAGTCGTGAGTACGACTATATGCTGAGTCCTGTGATTCCTTCTAGTGAATCGCCAAACCTGGGGGTGGTTTTGGGAACCCCCAAAACAATTACTTTTAATTATCTATAGGTCTCTATAAGTATTAATTGCAATTAAATTACCGTAGTGAAGACCCCAGATGCTGTGGACCAAGACAGGCATGGAATCAACGGCATGGGCTTAGGCCAGTTGGATACCGCTAAGGAAGCCATCTGTAATATGTTAACATAGTCAGTTAGAGAGCTTCTGTTTAAAGTTTCTATTCATTAAAATGAAAAATATTTAATATAAGAAGTACTTTGTGTAGTAGCTAGTGAGATAAGACATGAACACAAAGTCTCTAAACACTCATGAGATTGTCTAACAATCTCTTAAACTCCCAAATCATAAATTCAACAATAACATATAACTTGCCTGTTAGAAAGCAATAAAATATATTAGAAAATTTTAAGTAACTGCAAGACTATTCACAGAGAGCTACTTTCTACCGGGTAAATATACAGCAAACATGCTGAGCTGTAGATGCTAGGCAGCAGGCTAAGCACACTCGTTATCTAAGTGACTAGCTCAGTACAGCAAAATCACAACTATAAAACCGCAGACCTTTGAAGTTGACTGAAAGATGCCAAGAATTTGGTGAACTACAAAGCAGATTATATAACTGATATAAAATAATGTATGTATGTTTTAGAGAAGGGAAAAGTTATTTTTGGCTAGAGGAATCAGAGAAGGCTTCACGAAATGGCTGAGTTCTTTTAGGGGAAATGAAAGATGAGGTCCTGTCTTCCATATGAAGAAGACAGTATGATCAAAGGCAAGATGGTGAGAAAGCACAGGGTCTGGTAGGGGAACAGCCAATATACTTCAGTTTGGCTGGTCAACAGGGCACATGTGGCCAACGGGGTGGGGAAGATAGGTGGGGCTGGAGAGATTGATCAGGATCAGATTAGAGGTTCCTTTGTTCTGGAGATAATGGGGAATTAATAAAGAGGCCTCAACAAAGGAGTGGCATTGAAGTAAAGAAGTGATTCAAGGAAGCTAAAATGATAAGAACACCAAGTTATAAGACCCGAACCTAGGTCATAACAATGGAAACACTACTACGTAGGAAAATAAATCCTTTCCACCCTTCAGTTTCACTGTCTGGTAGTTTTTTTGAATTTGAGTGAGTTTTTGAAGCTAATTTTATCAGTTTCACTCTTTGGAGGATACTTTGAATTTAAGTAAGTTTTTGAACTTAACTTTATAATTCAAATGACTTACAGAAAATTCTATATATATACACATATATACATGTATGTATATGATAGATATTTTGCCACTATATAAAACTATATATATATATACTTTTTAATGTACTGAGTGACTAATATGTCCAGGTAATGAACCAGAGCATATTACTGGCCCATGCTAAACCTACTGCTCCATGGAGGAAACAGACTGCTGAACAAGTAGTCACAGTACAGTGAAATAAGTACTAAAGAGATGAAGTATAGTCTGGCGTAACACTGAGAATAAGGAAGAGCTTCTTGTAGGAAGCAAGCTCTAAACTGGAACCAGAAGGGCAAGCTGTTATTTGGCTAGGTGAAAGGGAGTGAGGGGGCACTAGAAAGACGCTAGCACCTGGCATCACTAGAGCCTAGTGCAACAGCAAGCCTTTGGCAGGTTTTGAGCAGGAGAGAGCAGAGATCAGGTTTGGGAAGATCACACTAATTATAGTGTGGAGAATAACTGTTAGGAAAAAGATTAATGAGAGAAAGGACTACAGACACAGAAACCAAATAGGAGGCCATTTTAGTACACTTTAGAAGACAAAGGTAAAATAGGTTGGTGATACTGGGGATAGAGATAAGAGATAAATGAAAAATATTTTCCAAAATAGCTTTCTTCACCAATTTAATGGTAAAATAAGGAATTTATATTTGAGATTTGAAAAGTTAAGTTTTATAATCAACTTTTAATAAAATATAATCCAATACCTGAGATATAACTGTGGAGTAAGTAGTACAATCAATGTTTACATTAATCATACAAAAAATATCATTACTTCATAATTGGAACAAACGTTTAGAATCTATTTCTGCTTTCACCAAAACTAAAATTAATTCTGTACCTAAAGTCAATTTTTAAAATAACTAGATTCCCTAGATCTTATAAACATAACCACAGTTAAATATCAGTTAAAATGAAAAGGCTTACATGTCCTCCCATGGATATTCCAGTCATTCCTAGAGGGCCATAACCCTCCCTCTCCAGCCAGTGCAAGAGAGCTGCAGATTCTAAAACAAGAGCTCCTCCCATCACAAAAAGGTCAGACACGTTTTTTAAGCTGGACCGTCTAGCCTCACAAAACAAAAGAGCAAATTATTTATTTTATGTATTTACACTTTAATATATGCAAATTTACAACAGGCAGCCAGACTTCATGTTTTTCTTTTAAAGGACCAGACAGCTAAGTAAAACAATGGAATAAACCGATGGAATTAGAGGGCTGCTAACATTGTTCCACGTATTAATCACCTAAAACTTATTTTTAAAAAGTTACATCTGCTGTATAGCATATAATTTTCATTGAATTTCAACTATTTAACTATTTTGAAGTCCAGAAAAGAATATCTTATATATTTGATAGCACTGAAAAAAATATTTATGGGAAAATAATATTTCTATACTGCCAATTTTTAGTTAAATTACCACCACTGATATACGGAAAAGCAAATTTATAGTTGTCCCCCCATAGAAAGAAATTGTTACGATAGAATTTAAAGACTAAAAATTTTTTAAAAGCAATGTAAAAGAATTTAACCTAATACTACGCTCATGTATTACTTGATCTTAAATCTTAAATATGTTGCTTATTTTCACAAAATACACATTTTATGAATATAAATTATTATAATTATAAATAATAAATAATTATTTATAATAAATAATAAATAATAGAGTATTAATTATAAAGAATAAATTATAAAAATACATGTTTTGATTAATTCAAATAAAGAGCAATTCACCTGGAATTTTCTGTCTTTAGAAACTGATTTTATATATAAGTACATTTCCTTATAAAAGTACTTAAATACATCTTTTTGATTCCATAAGCACTCTCATATAGTGATAAAAATATTATTATTTTATTATTAAACGGACCAAGCTAGAATCTATTTTTCAAAATTTAATTCATATCAAGACATACTTACATAATTGTATGAATACATCCATCATATTGGATGAAACCTTGTTCAAGTGTACAGAAATTCATTTTATCAATGGTTATTTATTATATGCCTACATAGAATAATTATGTGCAAAGAACCAGGTGCCATAGGAATGCCAAGTTGTGAAAAACAGAATTCTGGCCCCCAAAGAGCTATGTCCAGAGTCCTATCACATCCTCTCAGAGCTCTAAGTCCTTAAGGCAAGGTTTCTCTTTATGGAAACTATGCTATCATTTGTCAAAATAGATCATACTCATGGATTCATCAAAAAAAGCCCATTTATCCTTATATTTGTTTTCTATCTTCATTTAAGTGTTCTATTTATGATCACATAAATCCCCTGATTATTTTGGCCTGGTATAGAAGTTTGAATTCTCAGGTCCACCTCAGTTTGCTCCTTTATATACAAGTTACTGATGTGAGAGTCTGGAATACTGTTATTTAACCACTTTTTTTTTTTTTCGTGAGGAGATCAGCCCTGTGCTAACATCTGCCAATCCTCCTCTTTTTTTGCTGAAGAAGACTGGCCCTGGGCTAACATCCTTGCCCATCTTCCTCCACTTTATATGGGACGCCGCCACAGCGTGGTTTGCCAAGTAGTGCGTGGGTGCGTGCCTGGGATCCGAACCCGCGAACCCCGTGCTGCCACAGCAGAGCGCGTGCATTTAACCGCTTGCGCCACCAGGCCAGCCCCTATTTAACCACTTTTGATGAAAATAGGCTTAAGATGGCTTTAAAAAAGAGAAAGAGAACTGTTTATTATTATTTAAATTGCAAGCCATTCCTTACTTATGATGAATTATTTGAGAAAAATCAAATACACTGGAGCACTATTTTATTTCTTGGGTACATAATAAGTGATAGGATATTTTGTAAACATAATTCTCACAACAATTCTGCATGCAAGAAATTATATAGTATTTGCACTTTATAAATGAGGTAACTGTTACTTAGGAGGCTAAGGTTATACAATTAGTATGTCTGTATGACTCCAAAGTCAGAGTCTTTCTATTAAACCCATGCTGCCTCCCACAACTCAATAAACTCTTTTTCGTTTTTAACCACCTACAGACAGGGTAAAAATGACAAACGCAGTTCTGAGTTCGGAGCTTGGTTCTAGAGTAAGAATTCTTGAGGGGGCCGGCCCGTGGCTTAGTGGTTAAGTGCACGCGCTCTGCTACTGGCGGCCCGGGGTTCGGTCCCATGCGCGCATCGACGCACCGCTTGTCCAGCCATGCTGAGACGGTGTCCCACGTACGGCAAGTAGAGTGATGTGCAACTATGACGTACCACTATCTACTGGGGCTTTGGGGAGAAAAGGGGAAAAAAAAGGAGGAGGACTGGCAATAGATGTTAGCTCTGGGCCAGTCTTCCTCAGCAAAAAAAGGAGGATTGGCATGGATGTTAGCTCAGGGCTGATCTTCCTCAAAAAAAACAAAAAAACAAAAAAGAATTCTTGAACTATTTAGCTTGGACTTTAATTTTTCACAAGGTTTCACAAAGTTTATTCTAAACTATCCTTCACAGGATATTGGTTTGCCTCCACCCCAACCCACTTTCATCTATATTTCTTTATCATGACCACATAGAACATGTGACTTCTAAATCTACCTCTCCAGCACTTTCCAACTCCCTACTTACCTTCTCCACTTGCAGGTCTAACAGACATGACAAATTTAACATGCCCAAGTCAAAACTTTTGATTTCCTACCAACAATATCCAATAGGTCTTATCATTTCAATTTCTAAATTATATCTCAAACCCATTAGAGCTTCTTCCCATCTCACTGCCACTACCTTAAAGTCACTTTTTTCCCCTGCATTATTGTAACAGCTATTTTATTTCTCTGCTGCTACTCCTGCCCCAGTAAGCCAAAATAAGCCTTGAAAAACAAAGGAGATCACTCCTCTGCTTGAAATCCTCCAGAGTTTTTCCACTGCACTTACAGTAAAATTCAAATCATGGTGGCTCTTTGTAATCTGGCCCTAGCCTACCTCTCTGACCTCCTCTTGTACTACTCTCACACCTTGTGCTGGCGTTAGGCTTTTCATTTACTCTTCCTCCTCTGAGGCTGGTCTTCCTCCAGATCTTCACCTTGGTGGCTCCTTCTCATTATATCATGTCCTCATATCTAATACTGCTCCAACCCCGCACCTGCCCTCTATTACTCTTTATCCCATTGCCTTGCTTTATTTTCTTCATTATCTTATTTATTTTTATCTATCTCCCATACTAGAATATAAGCTCTATGAAAGTAAGGACATTGTCTTATTGTTGCTGTCTTCCCAGTGTCTAGGGTCAAATATTTATTGAATGAACCCAAATGAAACAAAACACTGATTACGGAAATGCAAAAAAACTGCCTTCAAAGTTCATCATTTTACAAGACGAGAAAGAGGAAGTTTACCTTCAGATTACCTATACTAAGCATTGCAAGAATAAAAAGAATAGTGTTTAATTTCACAAAGTAAATGTACTTTAAAAAGGAAAACATTTTATAGTTTTCTTCAGTTATAGTTTTACAAATAAAATATATCTTCAGTCAGCCTATTAAAATTTCTTACCTATCTCATGAGGCATTTAAAATACAAACAGCTTAAAATAAAAATTTCAGTCAACATTCCTAAATACAGTTGTATAACAGGATTTCTTCCCCCAATAACCCTTGGATATTAAACTTAGAAATGGTTAACCGAAGACTACCAAAAATTTTAATATTGCTGAAAATTTGGTATAAAGACTGCAAAAATGAAGGTGACATATACTTACATTTGGTCCTTGGGTTTCCTGCAGCCATTTAAGAACGTGGGTCAAAGAGAAAGTTTTAAAATAATTAAATATACTCTGTGTCTCAAAACACATTAAGTTAAGCAAAATAGTTAAATTTGAAGACAATTTAATACTGAAATAACTGTTTTCTAGTTACCTCAAATAGGCTATTTAGCAATTCTCAGGTTTTTCAACTTATTTTTCTTCTTCATTTTTTTAATAGTTTTATTGAGATATAATCACATACTATACAAGTCACTCATTTAAAGTGTACAATTCAATGTTTTTAGTATAGTCACAGGGTTGTGCAATCTTCAACTTAATTTTAAAATGAAGTTTATTGGTTTGTTTTCTTTCATTTATATGTTTATTACAGAAAATACAGAAAGCATATTAGAAGAAAAACTTTTATCTGCAGACAACCATATTAATATTTTGGTGTATTTCTTTCCAGTATTTTTCCTTATGCACAGCTTTTTTATGGACTTTCTGTTTTTAGGTTTTTTTGCATAACTATGTCATAGCATAGAGTTTTATATCCAATTTTTGCATTATAAATACTTTTCAAACATTACTGTAAACTTTTTAACAATAACCATTAAAATTTACTGAACGCTTGTTATTCACCAGGCACTGTTCTAGATAGTATTAACAATTTAATACTCTGAATAACCTCAGAGATTGTTTCCATTTACCAATGAAAAAAATTGAGGTACTAAAAGATTAAGTAACAGGTCCAAGGTTATACAGGTAGTAAGTGGTAGAGCAATAAACATAACACAGCCAATTGCATAATATTCCAATACAGTCATGCGTCACTTAACAATAGGGATACATTCTGAGAAATGTGAGGTTAGGTGATTTCATCATTGGGAACACCAGAGTATACTCACACAAACCTAGATGGTATAGCCTACTACACACCTAGGCTATATGGTACTAATCTTACAGCACCACCACCACATATGTGGTCTGTCGTTGACTGAAACATCATTATGCAGTACATGACCGTGTTATGAACCACAACTTAACCATTTTTCTTTTTTGCAGGAGAAGATTCGCCCTAAGATAACATCTGTTGCCAATCTTCCTCCTTTTTTTTTTCTTCCTTTTTCCCCCCCGCAAAGCCCCAGTACACAGTTGTGAATAGTTGTAAGTTCTTCTGGTCCTTCCATGTGAGCGGCTGCCACAGCATGACTACTGACAGACAAGTGGTGTGGTTCTGCGCCCAGGAACCGAACCTGGGCTGCTGAAGCAGAGCATGCTGAACTTTAACTGCTAGGCCCTCAGGGCTGGCTCTCAACCATTTTTCTATTGTTAGACATTTAAGCTATTTATAATGTTTTACTATTATAAATAAAGCCATATAAATATCTTTTCTCTTTTCTGTCACTTTTTTTCTTAAGATTTTATTTATTTATTGTTTTTCCCCCAAAGCCCCAGTAGATAGTTGTACGTCATAGCTGCACATCCTTCTAGTTGCTGTATGTGGGACGCGGCCTCAGCATGGCCAGAGAAGCGGTGCATCGGTGTGCACCCGGGATCCGAACCTGGGCCGCCAGCAGCGGAGCACGCGCACTCAACCGCTAAGCCACGGGGCCGGCCCTGTCACTTTTTTTCTTAGTATTTTATCCTTAGACTAAATTTCCCAGAATAAATAAAATAAATAAAATTCCCAAAATCACTCTGTCAAGGGATGTGAGATTTTTTTTAAGGCTCCTGATGCATATGGTAAAAATGCTTTCCCAAAGGGTTGAACTGATTTTCACAATCATCAGTAACGAGATAAGGCCAATCACAATAGCCTCATGACTACTGTGTTTTATTTTTTAAATCTTTGGTAATTGTCGCTTTAACTTTATATTTCTATTATTACCAGCAATGTTGAACAATTCTTTATATCTGTGCATCAGTTTCGTTTCTTCTTCTGGGAATTGTCTGATGTCATCTTGAAAATCAAGTTAAGAACTATTCTAAACCTCAACTGATACTTAAATGTAAATGCATTTAAAACATGAGGGTTTCCTTAATAGCAAACATTTGACTTATTAATACTAAAATCCAGCATAAGTCTCACAAGAAATAGAAGTACAATTTATCTTATTATATAATAGAAGCACAATCTTTAAGTTGTTTTTTAAAAGGCATGAAATAATTTTTCACTTCTTTTCATTCTTGCTTCTTAAGTATTTTCTCAACTGATGACTAAATTTAACTGGTTTAGAAAAGCTGGTTACTATCTATCATTCTTTTTGATGACTAAATCTATAAATAAGTAAATAAAAGAAAAGATTTCTAGGTATCACAAAAGGATATAATAAGGGTTTTCTAACAACAAAGAAGCCATTCGGGCTTCTTTAATCATAGGACGAGCCATTAGTGTTCGTCGTCTCCAGTAATGCTAAGGAAAGAAAAGATGACATACTTAAAGAATATAATAACCACATCTGTTAAGGACAGTATGTTAACAAACTAGGGATTAAAATGTTATAATAAAGTCTTACATGATCTCCTGTTCCAGCAAGATGAATGCATACAGGTCTATATTTGCTGTTCCATTCTTTAGGCACAATAAATTGGAACCTATTTAAAATAAAACACATCAGTGAAATTCTCTTTAAAAGACTTTTAATACAAACTTTCAATTTTTGAAAGTTTCATAATTAAATTATTTGGGAGAAAAGACCATTCAGAATTTTGACATACAAATTGTAATTGACTAATTAAACTAATGTTTGCCCACAGGCAACGAAAATATTGTAAATTTGCTTTGTGTTGGGATATTAAAACATTCAATTACAATATAAACAAAGAATTTATTACAATAATTTTTACCTTGCTCAATACCATATATAAATGGTATATGAAATTTATAAATGCATAATGAAATTTTTTTATTTTGTAGAGACATCAATATATATGCTTAAGTCCTAGAAAAAAGAATTCTTTAGATAGCTCCACTTTTTCTCTTATAAGGAATAATGCTTGGCTGTACAAGCTGTTGATGTATCCATAAAATAGTTTATGTTATGTCTTTTGATTTTCAACTTGGAGTGTATGACAGGATCTGAGTTATTAAAATTTGATACTTGGAGGTAAAAGCCATCTATGCCAGAAAAAACAAACACAGTTTTCTCTATTTGTCTTCTTATTATTGTAGTATTTTGGTCCTCTCATTTAATGCTTTTTTCTATATGACTTTTCTTTTTACTGTGATAAATTATATGTAATATAAAATTTGCCATTTTAACCATTTTTAAATGTACAGTTCAGTGGCATTAAGTATATTTACATTGTTGTGCAACTATCACTACCATCTATCTTAAGAACTTTTTTATCTTTCCAAATTGATTTACTTCTCTTTTTAATTTCCTTAGCAGTTGACATTTTAAAATTATTATCATAGTAGAATACTGCACCCTGTCAGCTCAAGGTTTGACCTTAGGTGTCCGCATCCTCAGGTAACATAAACCTCAATTCTGAGCTTACTTTGCTTGAGCAAGGGCAATATCACTAGTAATCTACTGTCAATAAATTGTTGAATGGAACATAGACAAGCACGTTTACGCTGGGTCGACGATGATTTCTGGTTTGTGCTCATGGGAACGAACTCTTAATTTTCAGTCTCATCATCAAAACTACCGATGTTAACAACACTGCTTCACGTTGCTTTCTTAACACCGTCCTGCTTCTTGATATTTTGAAGACTTGGGGGAAACGAAAACATTTTAAAATGTTTTCCCTAAAAAGCTGGACATCTCTGCTATTATTTATACTCTCCTTTTGTCCTATGGTAATGCATGTAGAGACTTCATTATTGGAGAATAGCTTTAAATTAACAGGAATCTTTTATTACAGCACTAACTACCACCCATCCAGTAGAGGCTCATCAGTCTGTCTGCCTGCTCAAACTATACTATCTTCTCACAGAGTCTTTTCCAGCGGCCCATGATGATGAGTACAGGCCATGGGAGCTCCTCTGCCACAGCAGATTGGGCCAGAGGTAGGCCAAATTAGCTAAATGAGATGTGCTCTTTTGGTAATCTGGGATTAGGACAGACTGCAGTCAGATTCTGTTGAGCTTCTGGACATGGAGGCTCTGTGGGGCTGTGGTAGCTATTTTTTGTCATCTGCACGAGAAACGGAGAAAGCTAGCCTACCCACAGAGAAATGACATGGGCGTGGGTTATGAAGCAGAGATAAGAGACCACGAAGCACCCAGGAAAGGAAAGTAGGGTAAATATCTATATATATCTTGATGACTTCCCATTTCCACCTTCCAAAGTCTCTCTCTTTTTTAAATTGAGATATAATTGACATATACTATTAGTTTCAGGTGTACAACATAATGACTTGATAGATGTATATATATTGTAAAATAATCAACACATTAAGTCGAATTAACATCCATCACCAGACACAATTACAAAATTTTTTTTCCTGTGATAAGAACTTTTAAGATCTACTCTTAGCAACTTTCAAATATACAATACAGTATTATTAACTGTAGTCACCATCTTGTATATTGCATCCCCAAGACTTATTTATTTTATAACTGGAAGTTTGTACCTTTTGACCACCTTCACCCACTTTGCCTATTCCCCTTCTCTTCTCTGTTTCTATGAGTTCAAGGTTTTGTTTTGTTTTTTTTTAGATCCCACATGTAAGTAAGATCATATAGTATTTGTCTTTCTGTCTGTTTCTGTCTGACTTATTTCACTCAGCAGACTGTCCTCAAGGTCCATCCATGTGGTCACAAATGGGAAGATTTCCTTCTTTTTTATATTTGAATAATATTCCATTGTGTATATATACTATATTTTCTTTATCCATTCATCCATCAATAGACACTTAGGTTGTTTCCATGTCTTGGTTACAGTAAATAATGCTGCAATAAACATGCGGGTGGAGATATCTTTCTGAGTTAGTGTTTTCGTTTCCTTCAGATAATACTCAGAAGTGGACTTGCTGAATAATATACTAGTCCTATTTTTAATTTTTTGAGGAAGCTCCATACTTTTTTCCATAGTGGGTGCGCCAATTTACATTCCCAGCAATAGTGCACAAGGGTTCCCTTTTCTCCATATCCTCACCAACACTTGTAATCTCTTGTCTTTGCAATAACAGCCATTCTAACAGGTGTGAAGTGATATCTCATTGTGGTTTTGCTTTGCATTTCCCCGATGATTAGTGATATTGAGCACTTTTTCATGTAACTGTTGGCCATCTGTATGTTTTCTTTGGAAAAATGTCTATTCAGATTCTCTGCCCATTTTTTAATCAACTATTTTTTTGCTATTGAGTTCTATGAGTTCTTTATATATTTTGGATATTAACCCCTCATCAGATATATGATTTGAAAATATTTTCTCCCATTTTGCAGGCTGCCTTTTCGTTTGTTGATGGTTTCCTTTGCTGTGCAGAAGCTTTTTAGTTTGATGTAGTCCCACTTATTTATTTTTGCTTTTGTTGCCTTTGCTTTTGGTGTCAGATCCAAAAAATCATCGGTAACACCAATGTCAAGGAGCTTACCACCTATGTTTTCTTCTAGGAGTTTTATGATTTCAGGTCTTATATTCACGTCTTTATTGCATTTTGAGTTAATTGTTGTGCGTGATGTAAGATAGTAGTCTAATTTCATTCTTTTGCATGTGGCTGTCCAGTCTTCCCAACACCATTTAGTGAAGAAGCTGTCTTTTCCTCACTGTATATTTTTGGCTCTTTCATGAGCATGAAATATCTTTCCATTTATTTGTATCTTCTTCAATTTCTTTCATCAATGTCTTATAGTTTTTAGTGTACAGGTCTTTCACTTCCTTGGTTAAATTTATTCCCAGGTATTTTGTTCTCCATGATGCAATTGTAAATGGAATTTTCTTAATTTCTCTTTCTTATTGTTCATTATTAGTGTATAGAAATGCAGCTGATTTTTGTACATTGATTTTGTATCCTGAAATTTTATTGAACTTGTTTAATTGTTCTAACAGTTTTTTGGTGGAGGCTTTACGCTTTTCTATATATAATATCATGTCACCTGTAAATAGAGACAGTTTTCCTTCTTCCTTTCTGATTTGGATACCTTTTATTTCTTTTTCTTGCCTAATTGCTCTGGCTAGGACTTCTAGTACCATGTTGAATAAAGTGGTGAAAGTGAACATACTGGGGCCGGCCCGGTGGCGCAAGCGGTTAAGTGCGTGTGCTCCGCTGCAGCAGCAGCCCAGGGTTCGCCGGTTCAGATCCCAGGCACGCACCGACACACTGCTTGGCAAGCCATGCTGTGGCGGCGTCCCATATAAAGTGGAGGAGGATGAGCATGGATGTTAGCCCAGGGCCAGTCTTCCTCGGCAAAAAGAGAGGAAGATTGGCAGATGTTAGCTCAGGGCTGATCTCCTCACAAAAAAAAAAAAAGTGAACATACTTGTCTTGTTCCTGAGCTTAGAGGAAAAGATTTCGCTTTTCACCATTGAGTATGATGTTAGCTGTGGGCTTGTCATATATGGCCTTTATTATGTTGAAGTACGTTCCCTCTATACCCAGTTTGTTGCGAGTTTTTATCATGAATGGATGTTGAATTTTGTCAAATGCTTTTTCTGTGTCTGTTGAGATCATCATATGATTTTTATCCCTCATTTTTCAAATGTGGTGTATCACATTGATTGATTTGCAGATATTGAACCATCTTTGCATTTCGCGTCCCTGGAATAAATTCCACTTGATCATAGTGTATGATCCTTTTAATGTACTGTTGAATTCAGTTTGCTAATATTTTGTTGAAGATTTTTGCATCTATGTTCATCAGGGATACTGGCCTGTAATTTTCTTTTCTTGTAGTGTCCTTGTCTGGTTTAGGTATCAGGGTAATGCTGGCCTCATAACATAAATTTAGAAGGATTCCTCCTCTTCAATTTTTTGGAAGAGTTTGAGAAGGATTGTATCAATTCTTCTTTAAATATTTGGTAGAGTTCACCAGTATGGCTGTCTGGTCCTAGACTTTTCTTTTTGGGGAAGTTTTTGAGTACTGATTCAATCTCCTTACTAGTACTAATTGGTGTGTTAGATTTTCTATTTCTTCATGACTCAGTCTTGGTAGGTTGTATATTTATAGGAATTTATCCATTTCTTCTAGATCAACAAATTGTTTGGCATATAATTGCTCATAGTGGTCTCTTATGATCCTTTTTATTTGTGCAATATCAGTCATAATGGCTCCTCTTTCATTTCTAATTTTATTTGAGTCCTCTCTCTTCTTGTCTTGGTAAGTTTAGCTAAAAGTTTGTCTATTTTGTTTATCATTTCAAAAAATCAGCTCTTAGTTTCATTGATCTTTTTCTATTATCTTTATAGACTCTATTTAATTTATTTCCACTCTGATCTTTGTTATTTCCTTCCTTCTACTAACTTTGGGCTTGGTTTATACTTCTTTTTCCAGTTCCTTGAGGTGTAAAGTTAGGTTGTTTGAGATCTTTCTTTTTTCTTAATGTAAGTGTTTATTGCTATGAATTTTCCTCTTAGAACTGCTTTTGCTGCATCCCATAAGTATGGGTGTGTTGTATTTGTTATGTTGTTATTTCCATTTTCATTTGTCTCAAGGTATTTTTTGATTTCTCTTTTGATTTCTTCTTTGACCCATTGGTTGTTCAGTAGCATGTTGTTTAATCTCCACTTATTTGTTAATTTTCCAGTTTTCTTCTTGTAATTGATTTCTAGTTTCATGCCAATGTGGTGAAAAAAGATGCCTGATATGACTTCAATCTTCTTAAATTCACTAAGACTTGTTTTGTGGCCTAACGTATGATCTATGCTGAAGAAAGTTCCTTACACACTTGAGAAGTATGTGTATTCTGCTGCTGTTGGATACAATGTTCTATGTCTGTTAAGTCTATTTGGTCTAACGTGTACTTTGAGTCCAATGTTTCCTTACTGATTTTCTGTCTGGATGATCTAACTATCGTTGAAAGTAGGGTACTGAAGTTCCTGACTATTATTGTATTGCTGTATATTTCACCCTTCAGGTCTGTTAATATTTGCTTTATATATTCAGCTTCTATGTTGGGTGCAGAAATATTTACAAATGTTATATCCTCTTGTTGGATTGACCTCTTTATCATTATATAATGACCTTCTTTGTCTCTTATTCCAATCCCTGTCTTAAAGTCTATTTTGCATGATGTAAGTATAGCTACCTCTATTTTCTTTTAGTTTCCATTTGCATGGAGTATCTTTTAACATCCCTTCACTTTCAGTCTGTGTATGTCCTTATATCTGAAGTGAGGCTGTCATAGGCAGCATAGTTGAGTCTTGTTTTTTTATCCATTCAGCCATTCTGTGTCTTTTGATTGAAGAATTTAGTCCATTTACATTTAAAGTGATTTTTGGTACGTACGGACTTACTATTGCCATTTCGTTAATTGTTTTCTGGCTGTTTTATAATTCCTTTATTCCTGTCTTCTTCTCTTTATCTCTTCCTTTGTGATATGATGATTTTCTGTAGTGGTATGCTTAGATTTCTTTCTCTTTCGATTATCTATTATAGATTTTAGCTTTGCAGTCCCATGAGGCTTATATAAAACATCTTATATTTACAGTGGTCTATTTTAAGCTGTAACAACAAGTTCGAATGTATATCACAGCTCCATATTTTTACTCTCCCCCATCCTACATTTAATGGGAATAATGCTTTGTAATTTGAAATAACATGGTGTTGATATTATTATAATTTTAAACGAATATAAATAACTTATTAGTTTAACTTTCTGAATAAAATTTCTTACCTTGCTATAACAGATTCAGCTGGCATGATATCAGGCACATAGTGGGCCATGGGGGAAACAAAGTGTCCATCCAGGATCTTACAGTCTGACTGCTCTTCAATCTAAAAGAAAAGCAAAACCAAGATGTACATACATCGACTAAGATATGTTGGTCTATGATAGATGTTTTTCTATAAAAAAGTTCTATTCAATGAAAAACTTTTTTTCAGCACCTACTATGTATCCTATTTGTTTTATTCTGCTTTCTAAATACATAGCTCCTAGTCACACAGATTTCTTTTCCTTCTATATCTTTTACTACAGTCTAGTTGGAAAAATAAACTATAAATAAACCTGATTTATACAACGACACGCAATAACTGAAAATAAAATACTAGTTAGAAAAATTCAACAATATAAAAATAAACATAAGAACAATTTACAAACAAATTATAAAAATAATTTACCACAATCAAATAAGTGTTGGCATCAAGTTTGTTAGAATGGCTCATTTTCAGGCAATCTGCTTATGTAATGAGTCATGTCAACACATTAAATATGGACAAGTGTGATATTTACACATATGGAAAAGGCATTTGCTAACATTCAACACCTAAACTTTTTTCCCAAATAGTTATTTTTTTAATATAAAAAATCTTTTATCAGGCCAATAGTCAAAATTTAATTAGCGGTAAAGCACCACATATTTTCATTAAAATCAGAAACAAACAAAAAACTATATCTGTGGATGCTATATACATCCAGTTGTTTTTTGGGGTTTTTTTTTTTTTTTTTTTTTTGGTGAGGAAGATTAGCCCTGAGCTAGCATGTGTTGCCAATCCTCCTCTTGTTGCTGAGGAAGATTAGTCCTGGGCTAACATCCGTGTCCATCTTCCTCTAGTTTATATGTGTGACACCTCCCACAGCATGGTTTGATAAGTGGCGCGTAGGTCCACGCCGGGGATCCAAACCTGCAAACTCTGGGCCAGCGAAGCAGAACGTGCTAACTTAACCACTGTGCCACTGGGCTGGCCCCCATCCAGTTTTTTAAAACACAAATTCTAGCCAGTCGTGTCAACATCATTTATTAAATAATCCACATTTTTTGTAAATGACTTAAAATGCTACTTTATCATGAGGTAACTTTCTACATATTTTGGGAAGTTATTTTCAATCCTTTATTGAGTCTAATTAGCCTATATTTTATTTCTGAACCAATATCACACTGTGTTGATCATGCTGCAGCTTTATAATGCCCACTGATATACGACTGAACTATTCTTTACTCATTGCTCTTCCTTTTCAGACATTCCTGATCTGATTGTACCCTCATGGTTCTTCACAAAATAATTTTAGGATCCTTTTATGGACCTAAGTTCTAAACTATATTTTAATTGGAATTGCATTGCATTGTTTGAAAATGGTAAAGAGACCTAATGTGTATAATATGAAATTTTTAATCCAAAATGTCTTCACAATTTTGTCATCTTTGTGCCTCCTGGTATAGTTTTAAAGTTTTCTTCTTACCTATTTTAGAAGAATAATTACTTGATAAAGGAGGCACAAATTAATTAATTAATTTGTGAAAGGAAATTAATGTGAAAGGAAATAATAATTCAACAAATAGTGTTGGGATAACTGGCAATTTGGTAAGAAAATAACTATTTTAGAGCCATACATAATATAGAATTAAAAATTAAGAAAGCTACAACTCAATGATAAAAAGATGAATAACCCAATTAAAAATGGGCAAGGATTTCATATGTATTTCTCCAAAGAAGATATACATATGGCCAATAAGCACACAAAAAGACGCTCAACATCATAGTCATTAGGGAAAGCATATTAAAATCACAATAAGATACATTTCACACCCACTAAGATGGCTAAGACAAGTACAAATATTAGTGAAAATGTGGAGAAATTGCAACCATTATACACTGCTGGTGGATATGTAAAATGGTGCACTTTGGAAAACAGTTGGTAGTTTGTCAAAAAGTTAAAGAGATTTACCACATGACTCAGCAATTCTGCTCCTAGATATATACCTAAGAGAATTTAAAACATATATCCACAAAAACACTTGTACATCAATGTTCATAGCATTATTATTCATAATAGTCAAAAAGTAGAAACAACCCAAGTGTCCATGAACTGACAAATGGATAAACAAAATATTTTATGTCCCTATAATGGGATATTATTTAGCCATAAAAAAGAATGAAGTACTGGTACATGCTACAACATGGATGAACCTTAAAGATTTGGCACGTGAAATAACCCAGACACAAAAGGCCACATATTATATGATTCCCTTTATGTGAAATGTCCAGAATAGGTGAATCCATACAGATAGCAGATTAGTGATTTCCAGCAGGTGGGAGATTGGGGAAGTGGGAAGTGACAGCTAATGGGCACAGGGTTTTCTTTTTGGGCCGATAAAAATGTTCTCGATTCAGATAGTGAAAGAGATGAGGGTTGCAAGTCTTGGGAATGTAATAATTTAAAAAAATCACACTGAATTGTACACTTTAAAAGGGTGAATTTTATGGTATGTGAATTACATCTGGATTTTTAAAAACCAAGCAAAAGAGTGAGAGAGGTTGGGGGGGTGGAGTGGAGAGGAAGAAAATCTATAAGAATGCATTCCAAAATCTTAACAGTAACTCCTCCTTGAGAGGGAAATGGAGTTAGGCGGTAGAACTTGACAGAAATCAGAGTGCGTTGATTTTTACTTGGTATGCTTTAAGTTTGTTTATTTGAAGCCTATGATTTCTTAATAGGAAAAAAATAGAGAAAATAAAAACATTTAGCAAAATTTGAGGGAGAAATGTTCTAAATCCAGAAGAAAGAGAAGGAACAGCTATATGGTGTAGAGGAGGGATTTCTAATTTACAAAATTTTGTTTTTAGCAGTGGAACTCTTTTGAAAAATGAAATCTTCTAAAGATATCTAATACATCAAAGAGATGAAAGTAAAGTTATTTTGGCTGAAAGGCAGTGAGGGACGTGAAGCCCAACCATTTGTACCCCTCCCAACAATACCTCAAGTATCCAATTCCATAAAGCTAGAAATATTTTACAGAAACACATGTGGTTGCTTAAAAACAAAACTATTTCAAATATATTTCTCATCTTCTCTAATTTTATATCATTTTCTTTCTACCATTATCTCAGCAATTAACTATATCCCATAATATTTCCATGATGTTATTTAAGAGTTGTTTGCTAATAACTTCTCATGTGCTGATTCTCCAACTAGAGTACTTCCCTGTAGTACTTACAATTCTTCCGAAATGTTGAATAATTTACTTTAACCCTCCTGAGTCTAAAGATACAAAACGAGGCTCAAAAAGATCCACCCCTAAAGATTTTCTTGTTTTTAGGCAAGTACTACATACATGCTCCCAAATATACACGAATATAGTTATTATAAGCATCAAGTAAGGATACATATAGCTTTTTAAAAAATATTAAATGAAAAACCTATACTGTACTCACGTTTTAGTGTTCATTGTTATTATACTCCAACTTTCAATCTATTCTTGCCACATATTTATGTTAAACTAGAATTTCTATAATTGCATGTTTTTCATTTAAATACCTTATCGATGTATACTGGATAATCACTTGAAACCAGATTCTGACATCTTTCTCGATTTCCAATCACCTTTCTGAATTCAAAGAGTCTATTATGGTAAGGAGGAAAAAAGGAAAAAATTCAGTATACCCATTATATTGAGACTAAAATTAGCAAGTCCAGTGCACAAGCCATATTAAAACTTAATTTTAATCATTAGAGAAAAAGATTAGGCTGTTGGGTTTTTTCAAGCTGGGCAATTTGTCTCAGAAAAAAAGTGACAAATATCATTGTTCAGAAAGTAACATATACAAGACTCAAAATTAAAGGGAAAAATCCTGAAAATTCATTTCCTTAAGTCTAGATATTCCCATGAGCTACAGCATATCCAGGCTTTCCAGTCATTACAAACTCCAGTCACCCAAGAAAGCTAAGTCCCTGGAAACTCTGATCCACTGAAAAATTATTCAAGTTAAAAATCTAGTTTGTATTTCTGAGAGCTCTTTATTTTTAAATCTAAATTACTTTTAAAATAGTTCAATTTATGATTATATGGGTTAAAATTTAAGAGAAATAATTATAAAGATAAAAAAGAAAAGGAAATAATTTCTTTTTATATCATTTAATGCTTAATTTGCCAATCAGTATATATTTATAGTAAAGGACTCTATAACTGAGATGAAATTTTATTTTTTTTTATTTTTTTATTTTTTTTTGTGAGGAAGATCAGCCCTGAGCTAACATCCATGCTAATCCTCCTCTTTTTGCTGAGGAAGACCGGCTCTGAGCTAACA